TATATATATATATATATATTATATGGTCAGTGTCTATGTACCACTTGGTTTGATTTTGAGCAGTTATGTGTATGGCCTTGCCACTCCAACTAAGATCCCACCATTCATCCACATTGGCATCATAATGGAATAAAATAATTGTAAAATTGTCTGGAAGAAACTGAAATCAATGAAATCAGATTAGGAGTGCTGATTCCAACAATTTTGATAACCTAATGAATCATCAAGAATACCTTTTGCACCATGACATCTACATTATGCTTTTGTTTAATACCAACTGGAATAGCCAGCAAGCTACGATTGGAGTAAACATTAACCTGCAAATCACTAAATTAGAGGTGAAGCAGCTTTGATAACTGATGGCGTGCCCATTATAGTTTACCCAATCCCGTCATCATATGCCGGTTTAAATAGAAATATAATGTAAAAAATAAAATTGCAAAAATACTGACCTTTGACCTCAAATTACTTGGTGACCATAAAGACCTTAACTCCAAATCTGAAGTAGCATGTATTATACCTCGTGGTAAGCCCTTCACATTTCTAGAAGTTTCAGGATATTCCTGCACAGTGGCAACAAAAGCATCAATATGAAAAATAATATGCGTCCAAGTTAAATTGGAAAATTAATGCAAAAATTGAAAGTAGGCAGGTGCATCAAAATTTTGAAAACATCCATAGCCCATAGTCATCATTCACTATAACCTGCAGAGCCTTAGTTCTAAATGCACCAAAGCTTAAATTTAGAGAGTTCCATAAAATTAATTAGCATCAGAGTATACCTTTCCTTCTTCTTCCCGAATATTCAACTTTTTGTCTATCTGATAATAACAAAATGAAAACAAAGAAAGTTTCAGATTAGAACAGGAGGTACAAGAATACAATGTCATGTATTGGTGCAATATAAGAAAGGCAATGCTCGAGTCACATAGCTTCCACCTGCCACAAGAAGTTGCTTATTTGATTGTACTAGGAGCTGGAAAAAAATTTCAAAACAAAGCTATAGGGTTTTATGCTGACATAACATTTTAATATCACTTAATGACAACAAAGAGTTTAATCATTCAATTTTTTGGAGAACCACTTTACACATTTCCTTTCCTAACCAAAATGAATATTGACATTGTTATACTACTCTGGATGAAGCAGTGCTGCAGCAGTATGTGACCCTTAACCTGATGCAGAATAGAAATTTAATCAACATTTTTGGTCCAAAGTTAGGATATGCGATCTCATACCTCTTCTTGGTAATTTTCATACTTTATAGTCCTATACACAACAAACAACACTGTACAAACAACTGCCACAAAAGGCAGTCGTTTCATCTTCATACTTGGTTTTCCCTGGTCCAAGAAAAATCACATTGAAAGAGTGAAGTTACAATCAGAACTCCTTGATGAAAATATATTTAGAAAACATTTTCCTCTGAAATATCAAAAGTAAGGACTTTAAAGAAAAGAAGACAAACCATTAGGCAAGACACTCTTCTTTCTCATTGTCCACCCCCATGATTTGATTGGCCTCATAGAAAAAATGGATCTCTTATTCAGTCTTCATCACAAACTGCTTGCTGTGTGTAATAGAAAGTATCACCAATTATTTCATCTTAAAAAATAAATTATTTGAGTTTTGAGATAAATTACTGGCAAACTCAACCCCAAATGTCCAAAACAGAAAATTTTGAACAGAACTGAATGGCATATAAACAAGTATATTCAATTTTGTGTAGGAGATTGGGGACTAACAAAAGGGTTAATGAGATATTCATGCACATGCTGCAGTGTGACAAGAAAAAGCTTATATATGTGAATTTGAGAAACATGCTTAGAATATTGGCAAAGAGCACAAGTTGCTGAATCTACACTCATTAACTACACCAGCCAAACCTCCACATAAAACAGCAATAAAGACACATATCAAAGCAATTCCAAAACTGACATCACATGGTACAACACATAAGCACCCAAGGAACACGAAAACAGAGCTGCATGCATTGGATTTGACCGACACAAGGATCACATGAAAAACGGAAAGAAAAAAAAGAAGGGGAAATACACAGCTGGCCAAAACATGGACCAACACCTGAAAACCAAGACTCCATTCCAATTGCTATTGCAAAATAAGATAAATATTTATTTTTTTTGGCTGAAAAGAAGAAAATGGAGTCATCCTTAAAATTTTTCACACCAAATAACAGAGAAAACAGCTCCCCGAGAGTTTCACTTAGATCCAACTCTAACCCTCCTCGACTTTCATTCATCATCGCCATATAAATAAAGGGAAAGTCCCACTCTCACCCCAAAATTAAACAAATAGCAAAAAAATTAATTTCCATCAGAAATCACAATATCATTTTCAGCAGACAATAGAATTCAAAATTTTCCAGCATTTGGAGATCTTCCGCTGAATCAAGCATTCAGACCCAGTAGAGAAAATAGGCGAAACAGAGGCGAGAAAAGCAATGAGGGTGGAGAAGAAGCAAGAAAAACAAAAGGGTATGCATGAAAATGGAAAAGGAATAGGCTTTGAAGATGACAGGACATACCCAGATGCAGAAGAATCGAAATGAAGAGGGAAACAGAGATGTATAGATGAGAGCGTGAAAGAGGAAGAGTGAAGAAAGGGAAGGTTTGAGAGTATGGAATGAATATATTAGTGTTAGTATTATTATATGCATGCGTTGGAGGGATATGGCATTGGGTGCTGTGCTACCTTGCAATTACCGATTTGCATAGCAACCTTGGTTGGCTACGAGGAAATTCAGAGACTTTTACAAGTAAATTACATAACAGCCACACCCAGTCACATTAATATTATATTATTCTTACATCATAACATAACAATAGTATATAACTTGAGATAAGACCATGTTTGTGTTCTCTTAAATTTGTGCTCTCTCTCACTCACCTTTCATCTCTCCACGTTTCATGTCTTGTGCTGCCCATCACACCTCCATTTCTCATTTTACTTTTACACATTTTTCTACGCTCTATGTGGTCACTCATGTCACCAACTTGTCTTGATGATTCTAGAAATTTATCAGAAATTGCGTACCTAATTTAATATATATTCATTTCTTCTCACTTAAAAAAAAAATTTGTCCCCTAAATATATGCACATTAAATTTTTTAAAAAAATTATTAATATATTTATTTGTTCCAAAATTCTAAGTAGATTAATATTCCATTAAAATACAGAAAATATATACTGTATGTTACAAAAATCATATATAAGTGAAACAGAACTAATTTTTCACATTTTCATATTTGTAGTTGTAATTATGAATCACGCTCTAATCAATTAATGTCAAATTCCTCTTTGATTTAAACTATTTTGACAATTTTCAAAATTCAACTGATCATTCTCTGTCCATAGAATTAGCTGCTTATAGAATGTTTGACTTTCAATGTTTTTTCTTTTAAACAACGCTTCAATAATATATGTATCCAAAAAAGTTATAAAAGTATATATATAATTGATTAAAAAATATAATAAAATGCTTGATAAAATAATATTTCAACGAAATTTATTTATTTTTTATCTTTTTCAGTTTTTATTATTTATTTTTTTAGAATATAATTAGAGAAAAATAAGATAAAAAAATAAAGACAGTGAATGAAGCAGTAATGGTATACCTTAATTTTTTTTATAACAATATTAAGAAATAATAATAATAATAATAATTAAGATTATTTATTGATTTGATTGTAATAAATAAAAAATAATAAATAAAAAAAGTAAAAGCAGAAAGGAATGAAGTAATTGGTGGAGGTCTTGTGGTGCAGAATGGATGGTGATCCATTGGATGTGAGTAAATTGACTGAATGGGAATAGTAATTGTTGATAGCGTTCATTGATCGATAACGTAATCACAAGGAGACACCTACATGTAGTATAGGACACACAAATTTATTAATAATAAATAAATAAAACAATATGTTACTTTTTAAAAACTCTAAATAAATAAATAAATTTAACAATTTTAGAAATTTAAAAAGGTGAGGGGCAAGGCCCCTACTTACCACCACAGAAACGTCCGGATTGACTATTTGCAGGTAAAATTCATTATGATCTATAAATAATAAATGAATAGGTTAATTAGGTATTTGTAAATAATATAGATGGATAATTTTTTACCTATTTATAAATAGGGCGGGGCAAGTAAAATAATATTCATACTCGCAGGTACCCGTTTAATAATATTTCTTAAATATCCTAATTATCCTTGTACTACATAATCCTAAAACTAAACTCTCTTATCATTGTGATATGAGACTTTCACTTACTTGTGAGATTAATGTATTTTAAATTATTGATTATTTTTCATTTTTATTATTATTTTAACAAAACTAACGTTAAATACAAGTTCAAAATTAATATTAAATTTTTATTTTTAATATTTCAATGACATTAAATATAAACTTAAAATTATTTATAATATAATTTTTTTAATTTCTTAAAAAATTTATAAATATTCATGGATATCAGTGAGATATTCAAGAAATTAATGGATACTCGCGCGGATATAGGGTAGGTATGAGGCCAATTTTTATCCAGCAAGGTGGGGACGAATTTACTATTACCCGCCTTCATGGGATCCCATTGTCATCCCTAATTCGTCTCTTCTTATAACACAGTTTATAATTGTCTCTTACATTAATTGTTTGTTCTATAATATTTATAATTAATTAACATTTTTAGAAAAAATAATAAATTTTGTAAATTAATGAAATAAACTTTTTATTTTTTTTTATGAATATCACCTACGCAATATATTAAAATTCACAACTAAAGACTAATTTATGTTTTTATGATGCGATTTTTGTCGATTAAACGTTATTTTAACACATACAACAATTAAAACCGACAATTAAATGAAAAAAAAAATGAGTAATTTAAAATATATCAAGACTAATTCTAAATAAATAATTTAAATATTAACAAATTTAATATTATTAATTAAATTAACCATTTTTTTAAATAATATAAATTAACACACATTTTATATTAGTTAGAATTTATTAAAAATTATAAAATTATAAAAGATATTTGTTAAATAAAATGTAAAACTTACCAATTTTATAATTTTTAATAAAATTTAATAAAAAAATAGAAAATGATAAAAGAGTGTATTGTTCCCGGCATTTCTCTTTTGGAATAATTTCATCTCGATTGATCGCTTAAGTTATTTAAAAGAGAAAGTGGTTTTTTTCTTCTATTTTTTCTATTATTAATTTTTAAATTAAAGCCATTGATTAATTTATGTGGATGAAGTTATTTAAATAAATATAAATTTTTAATATTTATTTTTCATAAATAAGTAATATATGTTAATATTTTTTGAATTTAATTCCTCTTAAGTGACGAGTGCGTTTTAGAAAATAAAGTATGTTAAATTTTATTATATATGCATTTGATTTTATCTCAATTCTTCATCATTATTTTAATTAACGATTATTATTGTAATTTATTTTTTAAAGTACACTCTTTATTTTAGAGGAGTCAAATTTATATTTTTTTATACACAACAAAACTCTTCATCTATATATTTAATACAGGTATATATTCAATACTTAAATTAAATATACAAACTAAATGAAATGAGTAGTACTAGTAACAATTTTTAATGCACTCCTCTCAACACACTAAAATTCATCTAAAACTACTTTTTTTAAACTCGAATATATATATATATATATATATATATATATATATATAAGCCTTATAAATGATAAATATAAAAATAAATAAATCTTAATTAATTATACCTTATTTTATATTATCAATTCTTGAAATGCTTTTCATTTAATTAAGATTTTATTTTTAATGAATTTTAGTTATAATAAATAAAAATTGAATTAAATAAGAAGTCTCTTTAAAGAAAGAACTCTTAAAAATATTATTGTGTAAGATAATCATTCATATATTTAATATATAAAAGTTGATTAATTTTTTATATTAAAGTATTTACTTAATTAAGGTGAATGAAGTTATTTAAAGAATTATTTTTTAACATTTATTTATTTATGAATAATTAACATACATTAATAATATAAATACTTTTATATTGTTATCTAATCACATGTTATTATATTTAATAAATTTATTAATTTTTATAATAACCATATTTAAAGTTAACGTTAAAGGTATTTTTCTATCGAATATATATAAATGTTTATATTTGTATTAAACCTTTTTTTATTTATTTATAAAACTAATAAGTGGAGTTAAGTGTTTCTGTTGCTTAAATGAACTGACTCTATATTTTATATTATTGATATAAGTTTTTTTATATATATATATAAATTTTTTAACCATGGGGACTTATTATTTAAAAATTAATCATATAACTTCTAATATAAGAGGTGAAATGAATACTTATTAACTAGTAAGTTTTCCGTATAAGCAAAATTAATAAATAAACAAGTTAAAGAAATAAAAGATACTCCTACTTGTATTATTAACAATACATATAATTGAAAAATTAAATTTAAGAAACAATTATATAAATTAATGTTTGAATTAAGACGCCTAATATTTATTGGTATAAATTTTGAAATAAACCAGAATTGATTAAATCCATGATAATATTATATTTAAATTTACCTAGCTAGAAATATTTACACATATATTTTTTTATGCGTAAAAAGTATCTCTTTAATTAGATGCAATGTACCAAGATTTGAAGTAAGAAAAAAAAGTTTCAAGATTCAAAATTAAGTAATGTAATTTGAAAGAAATAAAAAAGTAAAATTATATATTCAATATATATAGAAAAAAAATTGTTTGATTTAATGAGTAAAAAATGACTTCTACAAATATTCTCATTTTTATAAGAATAAGAATTCAAAATTATATATGATAGTGGATAGTAAATTTTAGAAATAAATTAATTTTTTTTCTTTAATAAAAGAGGAATATATGCTATTAGATTACATTTTAAACATTATACAAAATTAAAATCCGTACAATTGAGAATAAAGTTCTAAAATTACTTAATTGTTTTAAGAGAATGACATTCAAACTTTTTGTACACCTTTTTTCTTTATAATGAGTGATAATATTCTTTATACACTATATACAAAGAATCGTTTATACAAGAAATCGAAAATCTTTTATCTTCCCCAGTTGCATGGAAAACAAGTGGCTAATAATAATAAGGAAAAGAATATCGACAATTTTTCTATGAATTTCCTGATTATTCCAAAAATAAGAATAATTTATGTGATAACATGTCGGCATCAATAAAATAAAATAAAAACGAGCAAAAACTAAGGTAAAGAATAATTTTACTTTTTTTTTTCGTTTCTGGATTATTTATCGCAATAATAATGACTAATTTCCTGACTACGTTGAAGGTACTTTAAAGGGTGGAATAGTCATATTTAAAATTCATAATAATAAATTATGAACTTTGAAATAAAACAGACACGTGCATGGTTACCTAAAAGTTAAAACCTTCCCTTGCTTCGAAATTATGAACTTTGAAATTGAAACAATTTGGAAACATGTGATTGAAAAACAAAGACTTTTCTTACAAAGAATGGTTTAAAAGAAAGGGTTGTTGTGCTAATTATGTTAGCCCACCATTATCAAGTAAATCCTTTAATATTAAAAGAAAAAAGTTGATATCTTCTTTGGTATACCTTGTAGTACTTAAAAACTCTTTAAAGCACTTAAGTATGGTCCA